TGAGAAGTTCGGCAAAGATATCATCCCAAGAATGAGAGAAGCGACCTGTCGTGCCGCCGCAGCTTCCTCATTCTCTTCTGTGATATCCTCATCAAAGACTGGTGCAGAAGCTCTTGTTGCCACCACAACGCTCGCTCTCGCTGCTGCTGTAGCTGGTTACCTTGTGGTGGTGGTGATGGACTGAGCTATGTAATGAGGATAGTGATGAACAGTCAAGACGGAGCGAGCCAAAGGAGTAGAAAAAAAAGAAGAGCAATTACTGAGGAGGATCGATGATGAAGAAGAGGACAAGAAGAATCAGGAAGAAAAAGAACTGTCAAATTGGTTATTGGAACTTGAGTTCAATGGTCAAAAATAATCATCATTACGCTTCCCGTGTGTAAATTTACTCTTGACATGAGTAAACTGTACCCATAGACCATGAGTATACTCATTCATGTTTTCGCAGGCAGTACTCAAATACATGAGTAACGTTTACTCATAGTACTCGAGTTAACTCATAGCGTTACTCATCCGGTCTGTGAAAGTATACTCACATCAAAAAGTACCTTATCAAACTCGAACCTTCTACATTAATACAACATGGCTGTATCCAACATGTTCCGAAGCCACAGCATCGTTCCCTGCGGCAGCAAAGACTAGATACCGATACCGCCTCTGTAAAATATGTTCAACGTCACAAGCTCGCAAGATTATCTTCAATGTCGTCTCGTCTGCTCTCCTCAGAATTTCTTCCGCATCAAAGTGATTTGTCATTCCAAATCAAGACCAATCAAACATACCATCCTCTATTTTATGGGATTCGCTCAAGATTTACGAGAGCTGCTGACATGCATGTCGCTTGTGGCTATTGTGGGGTACCTCACGGATCTAAAGCTTTACGCCGGTGTCTGCTTGGGCATCCAGTGGCTCTCTGCAATTTATGGTATTCCAAACAAAACGGAGCGGTACTTTGATCTCACGGGCTCTACCACCTACGCCACAGTCTCGATGCTCGCTTATATGAACTCGAAGTCAGAATCTTGGCGTGCTACTCTGCTCACAATATTCGTGTGGCTCTGGTGTGTGCGACTTGGTTTGTTTCTTTACTGGCGCATTTGCAAAGACGGCAGTGACAGGCGCTTTGCCGAAATTATTGTGAACCCGTTGTGCTTTCTGGCTGCTTGGAATATCCAAGGTCTTTGGGTTTTCTTTACGTTATTGTCCGTGCTGCTAAGTGTCGTACATGGCGTGAGAGACTCGGAAGTCAGAGTTTTAGACATTATTGGCACCACACTGTGGATTATTGGCTACGTTATTGAGGTGACAGCTGACTACCAGAAGACTCGCTTCCGTCTTGACAAACGTAATAGCGACAAGTTTATCAGCAGTGGACTGTGGAGCTACAGCCGACACCCAAATTATTTTGGTGAAATTATGATGTGGATTGGTGTATTCTTAGTGGCCGTTCACACGCTACCGACCTTCGCGTTGCAGTGTGTTGCAGCCATTAGCCCTACCTTCATGACGTTGCTCATAATATTCCGATCAGGAATTCCACTACTGGAAGAAGATGCCGACCAGCGCTGGGGACATCTAAAAGCTTATCGACTGTACAAGGCACAGACGAGTGTACTGGTACCTATGCCCAAACGCCAGCTATCTGAAACGGAGCAAGCCAAGTATGCGTAAGTGAGACATCAATCGTAAAATGTCGATGACAAAGCGAAGAACTTTAGTGAAAGTTATGCGTTGAAAGTCTATTTTGAGCCTAACTCTTAATGCACGATCTCACACTGCCGTTCCAATGCTCAAAGTCATGTGTCAAATAATCTATCGAGACGCTGTTTTACTTGTTCACGATTGTGCAGCAATTTTAACTCGCACCTAAGTACTCGCAGCTCAACCTTAGCAGCAATAAATTTCATTGCCTCAGGTGACCGGGCAAAATCTTTCTCAGTCGTCACCACAACAACATCCTCGCGGCATTGCCGATTGAGCTCACTCACCCATTGCAATATGTCTCGCACATCTCTTGAGGTGAACGCATGATGATCAGGAAACGCTTTCATTTCGACTCGAGTCCAGCGAGCTACTTTTTCTACCATTTTTGTGACCGAGTCAGGATTACCGACGCCACAAATGACCATAGCCAAACAATCCTTGAACGGAAACTTAAACATATGCTTATGATTGAAGTTGTTGCTTTTGCTTGACAGTAATTCCTTTGCAGATTGGAATTCCATTATCTGCATCTGCGATGTAGCAATAACACAGTCTCGTTGCGGATCCACTAATGTCGTTAAGGTCCTTACAAGCAGCTGTAGATCAAGGCTATTAACCAAGTTTGCATGATGCACAATGACAATGTCTGCCCGTTTAATTGCTTCGCATGGCAGCTCTCGCAGACTTCCGCATGGAATTAACAATCCATTGCCAAACGGATACAAAGCATCTACCATGATAATCTCTAAATCTTTTGCCAGTTTCCACTGCTGCAGTCCATCATCCACAACGACACAGCTCAATAATGCTCTTTTTCGTGCAATCATTTCATCTACTTTGGCTGTTCCAATCCTTATACGATCTGCTCCAAGTGCCAACTGACAGACAGGGAACTGCTTAGCCAGAATTCGCCACTCGTCGTCACCGTATCCGCGACTAAGTAACATCGGCACTTGACCTCCATGTGCCTTTTTCAGCGCATATCCAATCAGAAACTGCACAAATGGTGTCTTTCCTGTACCACCAAAGGTGACATTTCCCACGCTCAGCACAGGGATCTGAGGAGGAGCTATGCGTTGGATATTTCTCAGCTCTCTCCGACGCTTGAGATCAATGATCCAGCCGTATACGCGACTAATCAACGGCTGCTTTTTATTCACTAGTAAATCAACTGATAAGTGAGACGAACGAAGTGTTGCTAGCACAGTGAAATACCATTGTCGATAGTATCGGCGCCACATCAGATCATGAAAGTCACATTTCGTCTAAATTTTATCAAATTTAAACCATACATGAGTAATTATAATCATGTAAATTTTTAGCTTCATTTATTAAAATTTGCAGATCATACACTTCAAACATTTATACATTCACATCTACATGAGCCAAAAGTCATTATCACGAGAAATTGCTCCTGCTTTAAGCTTTTGCCATCGTTCATGTGTCTTTGCCACTACAAGTTTGGCAGTGTCGACAGATATCGGTGCTTCTTGTGAAAAGACATTCTCTGACTTGCCTTCTGGAATTTTATAATTTTTAAGCCAGTCTACTAATGCATCCAGCATGCCAGGCTTCACTCTTTGCAGGTCGTCCACGTTATTAATATTTTCAGCATCTTCATCAGCAACGGAAAGCACAATAATCTTGTGGTCTACTTCGCCTTGATCGATTAGCTCAATACCACCCAAAATTTTAACTGGGTTCACAGAGCCCATAGGTAGCTGCTTAACGCCCACCTCAATCACATCCAATGGATCATTATCACCACCATTACCATTCGCATCTTTCACACTTGGGTCTTCCCACGTTTGTGGAAAAAAACCATAATTGAAAAAAGGCACGCCATACAAGTAATTTCGTCCTCGAGTGCCATTGTGCGTTGTATCTTGCATAATTGGATTGTAATGCTCTTCCTTGTTCATCTCCATCTTGTGAGCAATGCCTTTGGGAATTTCGACAATAAAATTAAACACTTCATGATCGATTAAATCAACTTCGTGGAGCGAAATGTCATGCCACGGAGAAATCTTTTCACCGGTTTCATTCTTAAAGTAAAGCTTGAAATCGGTGCGACCAAATGTTCCTTCTAACATAAGAGAGCGCGAAGTGTCCAATAGAGGCTTGGAAATTTTTGAGGCAAACGGGATCCAATTTGGACTGTTGACGTTTTGATAGTATTCAATCATAATGTCCCAACCGGATTTTGCCATGAAACCCTGAGGAACGCACGTTGGATTGCTCTTCCAGTCAGACGGAATCTGATCTCCCAAACACTTTTGTAGACCATCACGAGCCATTTTACGCATGAGAGATCCAGAAATCGATAGAAAATCTTGCTTGCGGCTATTATCCAGTGGCTTCATTTTGTGATCTTTTACGTCGTAGTATACCTTCGAAAAGGAAAGAATGTTAAAGTTCTCCATGCCAGGAGCCATGTGTAGCACAAAACGGCCATGATCACCATCGTAAATGTCGTCATTACTGCCGTTTGAGCGCTTGATGCCAGCAGGGTCCCGCCCGACAACGAAAAAGCTCGCACCGGCATTTTTACGACTTTTTGCGTGCCATTGCACCTCGCGAGGCCCAGCATAAGTCATGGGAGATGGCCAGATTGCAAGTACAGTACTGGTCTTGTCAAGCATACCGTCCCGTAATATAGCTTCGTGTTGACGCACACGCACGTCCAAAGGAACATCGTCTTCTTTCGTCCATCCACCAAGAGGAGACAGCCAAAGCACCGGTGTCTTATAACCTTGACTAATCAACTGCTCGAGGGCATTGTTCATTAGGTAAGCATGTCCAGCGTGTGTAGGGTTTCGTGTTTGAAACGCAAGCACTACGTCGGCACCCATTTCTTCGAAGCGACTTCGCAATTCAGATGGTGTCAAACGATACATATCTAAGTTGTCATTGTACTTAATACGAGTCAGCATCTCAATCTCCCCACCCAGCAGATACTCGCCTGACTTAAGGATTTCGGCTATGTATGGATGACCATAGTCTATGGCACCAAATGTTCGCGTGATACGCTCTTCTTTACGATGGTCATAAACTTCTGGATCGTTCAGTAGTGCAAGCTCTTCACCAGACGTACTCACGAGCACAACTTGCTTAAATTTGCCAATACGCCGCTTCGCCGCGGCGTTAATTGGAAGAACGATAGGCACAGGCATACTAACACGATGACCCTTTGACACAAATCCATTCGCGTACTCGGAAAAATTGGTGGCTTTATGAATATCCAAATAACCATCCGTGAGATTGTCCGAGTCATAAAGTACACTGCTGAAATGTAACGATTGCAGGTAAACACCCTCACGCATAAACCCACGCAAAGGAGCAGCCCAGCCTTCTCCAATAATCTGCAGCCAGTGCACATCTTCATCGCGAAGGAGTATACGAGGCAATTCAGCATAATTATCTGGATGTGAAACACTTGGTTGATCTGAATAAAATTTTGAACATGTAGCCATGGCGTTGCCTCCATCGACCACTGCCACACCAGGATATCCTTTAGAAATACTTTCAAATCCTGTCAGCAGACCCTCTGTCTCCATCTTATTCAAGATCAGCTCAACTTCGTCCTCGAGAGTCTGACTTGAGGTATGCAGATGAATTTCGGGGTTCAATGGCTCTTCATAAGGTGATGAAATCCCCGTAAAATCTTTAATCTCACCATTCATAGCGCGCTTGTACAGACCCTTCACGTCTCGGTCAGCAGCGACTGACACAGGGACGTCGACAAATACTTCGTAAAATGGTATATCCATTCTCTTGTGCAGCTCGCGCACTTCGTTGCGATGCGCTCGAAAGGGTGAGACGAGCGCTACTAGCGTAATTACACCAGCTTCCGAGAACAAAGCGGCCATTTCACCAACACGGCGTACGCTCTCGGCACGATCGATTTCAGAGAAGCCAAGATCGCGATTAAGACCGATACGCACGTTGTCTCCATCCAGTCGGTATGTATGTAAGCGGCGTTGTAGCAGTTTCTTTTCAAGTGCGCGGCCCACTGTGCTCTTTCCACTGCCGGATAAACCGGTGAACCAGAATGTAGCCCCTTTTTGCCCCAATGCTGCATAGCGCTGTGGCCGAGAAAGTAGCGATGAGTCGTAATAGACGTTGCGTTGCATATCCAACTTTTGTAGACGCTGATCGGCGCATATTTGCGTTTGGTTGCTCAGCTCACACACAGCAGTACTCGAAATTATACCACTGCGTATGGCAGGGCTGTCCACGCCTACATAGAGCACTGCGAGCGCGAGGTAGGGAATGACCACGAGAGCGATCAGCACGAGTTTCTTAATTTTCACAAGGTACTCATCGCTGTCACAACCGCATGAATTCTCGCGACCAGTAACATCGCTGTTATGGTCGCTATCTTTCTGCATTACAGACGCGTACAGGACACCAGTCATTGCTACGTCTGCTATTACGCGAAAAAAATAATGCTTCTGATTGGCGTCGACATATCCAAAGGTGCGATTTTGTTGGCTCACAGACGGTATGAAAGGGGTATAAAAACGTTGATATATTTGTACAGTGAGTTATGCTTGAGGGGTAACCAAAGCATATAGTATTGTAGCACACATCCATGATTGCACGACTGTTGCCTCGCTGTGCATTGTCGTGGACGTATCAATGTTCATCTTCTTCCCTGCATTCTGTATTTTTGAACGCTCGTCTATTTAGTAACGCTGATCGCACCAAGCGTGTTGACGTCCAGCTGAACGAGAGCGAACTGACTGAATCGTTCGTCAAAGGATCGGGTGCGACTTTCATGGTTTTATATAGCTCTTTCCTCTCTAACGTTACTACAAATAGGCAAAGGTGGACAAAAAATCAATAAGGTGCGGAACTGCGTGCTGCTGACGCATATCCCGACAGGATTGCAGGTGCAATGTCAAAAGACGCGGTCGTTGGATGGCAATCGTCGCGCCGCCCGTAAGTTGCTGCAGCAAAAGTTAGATGACCATATAAACGGGGCATTAAGCATGCGTAGCCTAAAAATTGATAAGCTTCGGCGTAAGAAGGCTAGTCGTAAGGCAAAATCTCGTCAAAAGTACGCTAAGATGATAAAAAGGGAGGATGATGACGAGGGTAGCGAGTTAGAGTCAGAAAGTGATGAGCTAGAAGATAGCGAAGATGACATGAAAAGCTCACATTCATGAAAGATTTAAAAGATTATTACTGGATTTATAGAAGGAATGAAAATATTTGAAGCTTAATGTTTAATTTGAATAAATAACAATGAGTTTTCGCCGCAAGACTTCGACCACCTCTTCATCTCTACGCAGTGGTACTAAGCCATTTCTTAACGGGCAGACGCTAGTGTCTTCGGGGTTGAGTGAATTAGACACAGCTTTAGGTGGTGGTTTATTACTGCGGACTCTAAATATAGTGGAAACGTCTACACTAGTCGAAGTCGAAACTACTTTTGGACTCGACTTGAGCTGTAGAGCCTCGGACGCTCTAGCCATTGATTTGCTTCGCTACTTTCTAGCAGAGGGTGTTGCGGATGCTAAACAACGTGTTGCACTAGTGGCTCCTGATGCGTCTGGATTTTTCAAAGAGCAATTGCCATTAGAGTTGAGTCTTGCTCAAAAACAAGTTAAGGAGCAGCTTGCGCATAAGGAAAAGAAGGATGCGCCATTGACTATCGCTTGGCAATACGGAAAATACAACGAAAAACAATCTAAGTGCAACCCGCGATTTTGCCATAGCTTTGACCTGTCCAAGACGATGCATCACGAAATGACGTCGGCCAATGAACCCATTGCGTTTGATCTGTTGGGCGTATTGGAGACGAATGCTGTCATTGGCGATACATATGATCATTTGTACCTCATGCTAGAAGGACTAATTCAGCAAAAAGAGGAAAGAGACGGTCAAGTTTTGCGTATTGGAATGTTTGGATTGGGGTCGCCTTTGTTGGGACCTGCTGATGCCGCACACATGACGGCGCTTTTCGGTTTTTTTAGACGGCTCCGAGCGCTTCTCTGCCAGTCTGATGATACTGTCTGTCTTACAGTGTTAGCTAGTGATGTACAAAGCGTCTTCCCAGCTGCCTTCATTAACGAACTTCGACATGTAGCGGATTCTGTGCTGACGTTAAAATCCTTCGCTGGCTCACGCGATCTACTCCCTGATGAATTGCAAGAGTTTCAAGGCTCACTCACACTGAAGAAGCTTCCACGTGTTTACGCTTTGGCGTGTCAGCCTACAAGCAATGCGCGTCTCGGCGTCAAACGTGATCGTCGGAAGCTGAAATTTGAAAAATTCCACCTTCCGCCTGAAGGGTCTCGCAGTAATAGCAGTCACTCCAGTAGTTGCAGTATCACCTCGAGTTCCACTGGTGGTCCTGACCTATTAGCATTTTAGCCGAGTAACAATCACACACTCACCATTAGCTTGACATGATCAAGCAGCCAGCTCGATCGTTAGGATTTATTCGACTTGACGTTGACGGAAATGGTGTGATGCTAAGTTAGACTATGGAGGAGCTACTTTGAAACTTGATAAAAAATGGTAATTTATTTTTCCTTTTACAATTCGCGTAAGCTTTACACTTCCCAGATATTTGACGTAAACCGATCCAGGTGCAGTGGAATCAGGAGGTCCAGGGTTCAATCTCCGGGCCGGGTAGAGCGAAATTAGAGTGTAATGAACAAAACCCTACAGCATGCGCTTGACATGGAAAAGGGGTGAAAAAATTAGAGTTTACTGCAAAAGGTGTTACAAATAGAATATATTCGCGAGATGTGATACAATTGTTTTAAACACCATTGTTATGAAAAATACGGGGAAGGTCAACAGCGAATTCTATCTTTCAGGCACATGCAGCAAAAAATGGAGTGGATCATTTGTCCTCCATAATTC